AAGATCTCTTGGTCACTTACAAACTGAATAGAACTCTCTCTGACCCAATTTATGGGAAGGTATTTGGAGTAGGTGGGTCAAGACACTTAATTTTGACCATGAATTCAGGAACAGATTCTTCAAATATTTTTAAAATAAAATTTACATATTTTGAAAACTACATGAGAAGTACTACAAGTCAACATAGCTTATGATATAAAAAATAAAATTAAGAAGTTTGAGAAGATTATAGTCAAAGGGAAAATTGTTTGATTCCCCAAATAGTAACACCTTCATATAAAGTGGGACGGAGGGAGTATAAATGATCCACATAAAATGTACATGACCATGCTGTTCCAAATCAATCAATCAATGAACTAAACTACCTCTCAATCTCAAATTAGCTGGGGATAGACATTTCGCTCTTTAAAGGTCCATTTACCTTTAAGAGGATTCATTATGGTTATTCGGAGTACTATTTTTGGGCTGGCTGTCAACATACAATAACCTTTTTCCTTTATCCGATCATGAGGTTTTGCAAAACTCATACATGTGGAGTTGGTTTTCAAAATCCTAACAAAGTTAAGTAATGCAGATGATACCATTAGAATTTCAGCTTTAAAAATAATAGACAAAGAAAACTAAGAATTATATCGCAGTGTATATGGAAGTAAAAGAGTGATCATTCAGATTGTCAATTCTGTACCATTGCAAAATGTTGGCACATCATGTTCCGGGATGAACTTTTTTATTTTTTAGTTCCTTGTTTGGCATAGTTGATTTTCTTTCTTTCTTTTTTTCCACAGCACAAGCGAGATATGTACATCTGCACAGAAAACTATATTCTTTGAAAGACTAAACTAGTTTTCTGAAAACTGGATTAAGGTTTAAAGTAAAACCGTATGTGCTGTATTCTTAATCTTTGGGACGATCAGAATTCTAGCCTGACATGTTTGCAACGTTTCTCTTCTTTTTAGTTCTTGCCGACTTTGTATTAGAAGCAGTTATGCCGAAGCTGTCAGAGGGAATCCTAACTCGGATGCAATTGATGTTGTAGCAGATGTTAAGACTGAACGAGTATTACTTCATGACTTAAGCATCTTCTTTTTCTCCTTTTGAGATCAAATCCATTTACAACTGTCTCAATAGCAACTAGTTGTCATTCACTTTTTCTTTTTTTTTCAACAGATTGTAGTTATAGGAGGCAGCGGCTTTGTTGGCTCTGCAATATGCAAGGCTGCAGTGTCAGAGGGTATAGAGGTCATAAGTCTGAGCAGGTATTTGTAATACATGACTGAGCAGTTCAATAGGGATTCAAATTTATAAAAGAATCTTTACTGATTGAATGTGATCTTAAACATTTTCTGTTGATTCATAAGGATCTATACAATTGCTCTATCCTCTTATGCTATTTTTACGTATTATGGGTTCTCAAATTTTAGTATTTCCTACACAGGTCAGGGCGTCCCTCTAACTCAAACCGATGGGTAGATCAAGTCACTTGGATAACAGGCAGGTTCATTTCTTCATCATACACTTGAGTAGGTTGACAATGAATTCAAGTAAAAAATTTACATGGATGAAATCAATGTGGAAGTTGATTTTCAGGCCCTTTTTCTGATGAAAGCCATTGTAGTTTATTGAGAATGGATAATAATGTTATTGATGAATGAATTCCCCATATTTTTTTTGGTTGGTGTGTGTGTGGGATGGATGTGCTTGCTGAAATAAGTATCTACTAAAGATAATTGAAGACTCTCTCGCCACACTAAATAACGGAAAGATATAATCTACTGAAGCTCCTCATGGCTTTGCAAGTCCAAAAGTGGGAAGCCATGTTGTGTCCTGCTGCTTTACCTCAGGTGACAGGTACCTGCATACTCAGTGTTTATGTTTAATCCAATCAAGCTGAAAAGGAGACAATGGATGATTATTTTTGGCAGGCCAGATAAGAGGATCTGAAGGATAGTCAAGCAAAAAAACTTTTTCACTTGACAATTCTAGTCACTAGAAAAAAAGTCGATTTACCCTTAAAGATGAACGGGGGGGGGGGGGGGGGGGGGGGGTTTTTT